TATGTATATATATATATATATATATATATATATATATATATGTATATCTTCCCAAAAAAATATTGGGGAGCACAAACCAAGTTTTGATATATTTAAGGTAGGTAATTCACAAAATATCTTCATGGAACATGACCTTTACTTAATATCCTAATGATTTTTGGCATAAAAGAAAAATCTATAATTTTGACCCATATAATGTATTGTTGGCTATTGCTACAAACATACCCCAGCGACTTAAGACTGCTTTTGTGCTGCAGGGTCACATATATTACCAATCACAAAATTCTGAACGGCAGTGCGATTTCTTAATTTTTTAAAATCCACTTTAAGCCTTTTCTTCAAAACAACTTAATCTCCAAGTTCTGCAAGCATATGCTTGGTCATGATGACACTCATCTCTGAGCGCCTGTATTAATTGTGACACCTCATATAGTCAGTGATATTCATGATGCAAACCAAGTATCTGAAAATCAGTAGACTCAAAATGAACGAGTTTGAACAGGACTCCAGGCTTCATTGTAGTAGCTGCTAGAGTTGTGTGATGGACCGAATCTATCCTGAAGAGGCTGGAGTCACATGACCTGCACTGCTGTTGTGATCAATCCTCGTGGTGTACTTGTTTCTGTGTTAATGGGTCTGTGCGAGGCTTTTTTGTTCAAATATCCTTCGCATATCCTTTACCCCATTTCACACGGTAATTGCAATTAACTCCCTCAGGGTGGCAATTCCCACCGCATGTGTTGTATGCCATGGCAACGTGTTTCATTTTAAATGAGTATCAAGACGCTCTCAATAAATGAACAAACAAGTCCAGATGCTATCAAATCAATTCCTGAAGCTTCGTAGACGAAAACAGGAAGATTATTCAAATAGAGTCACCTGAGTCCTCGACGGCGCCCTCCTCGGCTTTGCCAGCGCTGGCAGGCTTGCCCGTGTTGCCCGGTCCATTCTGCAGAGTGCCAGGCGTGGCGCTGCGCACTGGCTGCTCCTTTTGGTGGAACTCATTTTCTGGCACCATGTGCACTTTCCTGCCTTTCAATTGGCCAGAATAGCTGCAAGTCACATACACGTTTAAAATCACGGCAGATGGTAATATGAAGTGCAATGCTTAAAATCCCTCAGAAACAGATGGATTCAAAAAGAAATCCTCAAGAGGGGCTGTGTTGGCAGAGGAAAGGCTTTATGACAATATTAACGTAACTAGATAGGCATATTTTTGAGAGGCTGAACACAAGGTCTGATTTCCCGCTTTCATTTCTTGTTGATTCCATGTGTCTACAGAGAAACACAAAGAACAGGGCTCACGTCTGCCCAATAAGCTGAGGTGTGCTGATAAATCCCACTGGTGGCATGAACGCAACAATTACATGTCAAGAGTTATTACCAATTGTGCAATGGAAGACGCCAATTTAAAAAGACATCAGTTCCTCATTAAGATTGGATGGTCTAATCATTTTACAAGCCCATGAAATTTCTCTAAACCACGTGAGCTCCTCAAACTAAACAACATTATTTTAATCCAATACACAAAAGGTCAAAAGTTTGGGGTCAGTAAGTTTTTTTTTTTTTTCAGAAAAGTATTTTGATTTAAAATATGGCAAAATAGTACTCTGAATTATTCCAAAAGAAAAGCATTTTTTTTTTAAATTCATTTTAGATTCTTTTTTTTTTTTAAATATGGATTTGTATGTAATAATCTTTACTGTCACACTTGATCAATTTAATGTGTCCCTACTAAAAATATTCATAAATAAATACACATCTTACTAAACAAAACTATTTGAACAGTAGTGTTCTCATTGTGATGTCTAGTCCAAAAGGTAAGCAGTAACATGTCGTCACCTTCTAACAAGCTCATTTAAAGATGCAGATGGGAAATATGGATTACAGACGAATGGTCTCGGGAATCAGTGGGGCATGATCAAGTCCTCATCACTAATTCTAGCTCCAGTGAAGCAAAGCAGCCCATTACAGCTGATAACTGATAAGATCGCCTTATCGTGACACAACAAAGTCCAAAAGCTGAATGGACTGTTCATTAAGCAGCAATGAAGAGGCCAGACCTTCCTTTGAGATTTTGGTTGGAATGACTGCACTGAATTATGTCTTTGAGTTTCCTCCTCAAACAACCTCACCACAAACCTCATCCCTTCACATGCGCCCGAGATGACCAGCCACTCCTGACCGTCTCCAACCGCACCAGTCCGACACATTTAATCAATCCCACTGCGGAGAGTATGCTGAAAGCGGCAGAAAAGAGCAACGAATAAATCTGCCTTAATGTGGCTAACCTCTGCTAACAGACGCCCAGAAACTCCCTGCTGATGGTTGGCGGAGGGGGACTTCCCTCATTAATGATTTATTTCTGCAATTATCCAGTAATGTTTTAAGCCTACCTGCACATGCACATTGTGAGGCGCAGTGGATTTATTTGGTCACAGCAACCCTAACGGTACATTTAGGAAAAGCAGTTTAAGGCTATGAGTAAACTGATGAAGACACAGTAACTGGATTTCTGCGGCACTATGGTAAAGATATGCATCACAAATGGCTGCACGACAATGGTTAGATGTGAATTACAATTATTTTGCTCAAAAATGAATTCACAATTAGCGTCATTAAATTTTTTTTTTTTTACATTTCTATAGAATTTTTGCACTTTCATATAAGCACAAATCAAGAGAACGTCAACTTGCATGGTTTGCTTGCAGATTTAGTCTCAGCAAACAACTGCGCAAAAGAATTACACTTTCATTTGAGCACATTATCTCAGAAGAAATTGCTAAACTCCAGCTATTTCGGTGTAAGAGAGGGTTGCCAGAATGGGAAGATTAAGTAGACCAAACTGCAGAAATTGAATCGATTTAAAAGAAAAGCTCTGATTGGGGGATTTAAACTCTTGATCTTATCTGGCAACCGCACACATAAAAGCTTGTGGATGCTTAAATTAAAATTAAAACATTTCCGAGAGAAATAACCAGTGGACAAATAATCGCACACAATTAATAAATCAATAGAAGCAGAAATCGTGACCAATGCAAACACTATTCTTCATGCAACCCTAGTATGACATGTGCCAAAGAAAAAACATTTTCTTCTGTTCCAAGATTCAAGAATTCACCTGCAACTTCAAGGTTTTTAAAATATGACCTCTGTAGGAATTGGACTGACGGTGATCAAACCCCTAACAAGTAGTGGGGTGTTGCAAGAAATAATAATAAAATAAAGGTTTCATTCTAATTTTCAAGCTAATTTCATGTATTTACATAAAAGCCTTGCAAAGATACAGCTTCATTCCCATTTAGTCAAATTTGATGATGCATTACAAGCAAATGGTCTGGTAAACCAACTGATCAACTGTCACAAATCTGGGGATGACCTAATAAAAAATTTTAATGGCAGAGAATCTAGTCATTTAACTGAACTAAAACGTTGCTAATTGAGTAAAAAAATGGGCTAAGGTTTGAACCAAGCTGAATGACAAATTGTGGGCCACGTTTCATAACCTTTCAGCGTATAGTTCTAGGGGCAGCTGTATATAAATGATGCCTACACACCTTCAGAAATGTAGCCACTAACAAATGTCCTGTATCTTAAACCAAAGCGAGCACAATTAAAATGTGGAAAAACTACACTACCACCAGCTAGACTCCTGAAAGTGAAAGACAAGCCTGGACCCTCTAAACCAGTGTGGTGAAAGCACTTGAAATGCTGAGGCCAGCCGGCTCTCGGCTCAGTTACCCCATGGCTAACGCATAGAGATCGGGCCTCTTCTCTTTCTCTTCCTGGCAGATCTTGTGAACGCGGCACTCCAGAGCCTGGCCCAGGTTCAGCACCTTGGGGTACCAGGGTAGGATCTTGGTGAGCACGATCAGGATGTTGCGGATGTGGGTGTACTCGCCCGTCTCCAGACAGTGAACTGACGCCTGAAGGGAACAAGCAGAGGATTTTCTGTACATGAGGTGCTAACAAAAAGTCACATTTATACAAAACATTGCGCATATGACTCAAGTTATTACTGCGTTCAATTTTAGATACAACAGTGCATGTCTGCAATTGTGTATGTCTGTTTTGCGAATGAAAAGGGTTCCAAACAAAGCCACAGCACGACGGTTATGCATCTCCGAACAGCACAGCAGTGGTTTGTCACTGAGTGAATCCACAGTTTTTAACGATTCGAGTAAGCCAGTGATTCAGTGACCCATTCATAATGAATTGCAAGCAAGTCAATTGCTTTGCTCTTGAATGAAGCAGCCATTTGAACAAATTGGTTGAATGAATGACTGAATGCCTCACTCATGAAGACCTATTGGCGGTTATTATTATTATTATTATTTCGTGTTTCAATATTTATTTTTTTTAAACATGAATACCCATTTATTATTATTATTATTTGTGACCCTGGACCACAAAACCAGTCTTAAGTCACTTGGGTATATTTTTAGCAATAGCCAAAAAAAACATTGTATGGGTCAAAATTATAGATTTTTCTTTTATGCCAAACATCATTAGGATATTAAGTAAAGATCATGTTCCATGAAGATATTTTGTAAACTTCCTACCGTAAATTTATCAAAACTTAATTTTTGATTAGTAATATGCATTGCTAAGAACTTCATTTGGACAACTTTAAAGATGATTTTCTCAATATTTAGATTTTTTTGCACCCTTAGATTCCAGATTTTCAAATATTTGCATCTCGGCCAAATATTGTCCTATCCTAACGGAAAGCTCATTTATTCAGCTTTTAGATGATGTATAAATCTCAATTTCAAAAAATTTACCGTTGTGACTGGTTTTGTGGTCCAGGGTCACATTTATGTAATGTTGAATCAAAATATTAATTCAAACGTTACTTTTTTGTAAATTCCAAATGGCTTAAATTATCTTTTGGGGGGTAATTTCTTAGCCAAAACTGACGTGCAATTAAGTCATGATTAATTTGATTACCTAATTTCTCAAGTGACCAATATAGTAGTCAATCATTTATACTTACTATAAACTACAATCATCATCAATTATAATTATTGCAAATAAATATTTTCAAGAGGGTTGAAAAGTTTAGAGAATTAGGAATCACCCTGCTCTACAACGGCAGGAGGAGTAGTATTCTGTGAGGAGTAGAATACTAACTTTAGTCAACTTGTAATGCCATTTGTGAACAACATGCCGGAAATTCTCATAGTCCAGCTGATCTGCTTTGTTCCCTCCGTCGAAACCACTGGCTCGGAAAATAGTCAGGAACCCAGGATAATTGCCACATTCCTAGTGAGGGAACCAGAAACAGACAAGACGAGACAAACAAATAACACCAGGCTTCTGAAAAGCATGTTTAACCCAAAACCTCAATATATACAGACAGAAACGATTTATCTGGGTTTGTAATAAAAGTCCATTATTAAAAAAATGTGAAAATGGAAGACGATTAAACTTTAAAGATCAGTTTGCTCCTAATGAACATTTAAACACTCCGATCCTGCAGGGAAGGGATGCACTGCCAACTCGTTTTCACGGATACCAATTTAGTGGTGACTAGGACACGCTAGAGACAACACTGACAGGATAATTAAACAAGAGCCGAAAGCACATCATACCTTCTCATAGATGGCTCGGTCGCTGTGCCATCGAGTCACAGTCTCCAGCATGCAGCACAGAAAGCGGCCGTAGCGGCGCGACTCGTTCTCTGTGCAGCTTGCTACCGTGTAGATGATATCAGAGAACACCTAGGAGAGAGCAAGATAGAAAAAGAGCAGGATGAGTAGCCTGCCAGAGAACTACTGCGGTCATTAACACAGACCCCACCGTTCTCTGACCAACATAATGGAAATACTTCAAACATTCAGATAAAAGCACAAGAGAGCAACACATTAACAAACAGAATTCTAGATAAGCTTGTAGCTCTCTGAATGTAGCCACTGGCACATAAACAAGGCAAACAAGCCATTAACAGCCCTGCGATAGCACTTTCCACCAAGAGATTAGCAGAAAGGGATTCAAACTCCTACATAAAATCACATTCTTGCACTTCTTCAACAAAAGGTCAGTTTCATATCAATTGTCAGGAGGTCAAACTAAACGTCTTGGTTCCCTTTCGATACTTCACTCGTACTGTGTCTTGCTCAAGGAAAAAAGTATTTTTTCTCCTGAACTGAAGCCTTTTCATTCACGCAGTGAAACTGCAGGGCCATTGGTTAGTGCAGTGCTTAAAAACGAACCAATGGCTCAGCAGTGGAGCTGCACGAGCCTATGGCAACGAAGCCCGCCAAAGCCCGCCAGAATGAGTGGGGCATCTGGCTATAAAAGCGGGCGCTCGCCACAGGATTCTTAGATTTCTTCTCCTTCAGCGACGACTACGCTCATCGCTGATCCTGAAAGCCTGCTCGCCGTTGACACGCCTTCGCAGCTGGAATTGGGACCTCTCAGCACAGCTGACCTGCTTCTACGCTGCAGTTCCGGTCCGTTTCCCCTGCCGCATGGGTCTCGTTTTTCTCCACTCGCGGACCGCCTTTCACTGAACAGCCCCACTCTCACGTTTCTCCTCTCTCTGCAAGCCTTGGAGAGAGAAACGATGAAGCCTGGGAACTAAGCAACCGGGTCTAAGCAATCTCACGCCGACACAGAGCCTGCGTACTCGCTCTCCCCACTGCGCTTCGATCCATGTCTCACACAAAAGGATCAGTGCCCCTCTTTAAATCGAGCAGCTCTATCCTACAAAGTAGATCGGAGCAGATGCTGCCGCTGCGAATGAATGGGGTCAGACTGCTTTTGTGGTAAAAGCGGCCTGTGTCTGTGAGCGCAGCCATAGTGACACACACACAAAATTGAAGCTGTCAGCGGCAGTTTCTCTCCTCCCAGCTACCTTGGAGGAAGCAACGACGAGCTTGCGGGTTGAACTATCAGACTTGAGCAATCCTCTACACACATCATGCATGCTTAATCTGCCAGTGTGTGTTACACATGAGGATCTAAGCACTTTGTTATAAAAAGATCAAAGCGAAACGCAGGCAGCTTCGCATTTGTGTGCGTCGCTAAGCCCCGCCTCCCCCACTCTGGTGTTTCTCTCCTCCCAGCTACCTTGGAGGAAGCAACGACGAGCTTGCGGGTTGAACTATCAGACTTGAGCAATCCTCTACACACATCATGCATGCTTAATCTGCCAGTGTGTGTTACACATGAGGATCTAAGCACTTTGTTATAAAAAGATCAAAGCGAAACGCAGGCAGCTTCGCATTTGTGTGCGTCGCTAAGCCCCGCCTCCCCCACTCTGGTGTTTCTCTCCTCCCAGTTACTCGGAGGCAGAAATGGCAAACTCACGGGTATGATCGATCAGGCTTGAGTCCGGCAAGGCGCCCGCTTGCATCACTCTCTGCGCAACTCTATGACAGGGCAAACTTCCTCTTCCATTACTCGTAAGTGTTCTGCCCCCGTGCGGCCAGTCACCGGAGTTAATTCATCTGGCAGGCCATCCCCGGAGTGTCGAGATGGGTTATGGGGATAATAAAGAGAGGATATTCACTCCAATTTGCTCGAAGACCCCCGCGTGGTCCCCACCTCAGTGCAGAGCAAGGATGCTCACATCCTGCGCTCAGAGGTGATGAATTTGCTGGCAAAAGGAGCCGTGGAAAAGGTTCCTCCAGCCCAGAGTGAGTCAAGCTTTTACAGCCGTTACTTCCTCGTCCACAAAAGAGATGGTGGCCTCCGACCCATCCTTGATCTCGGACACCTGAATCGCTCCCTTATGAAGAGGTCGTTCAGGATGATTACACTGAAACAGATTCTCACGCAAATTTGCTCGGGAGACTGGTTCTTTTCTCTGAACCTGAAGGATGCATACTTTCACATCCAGATAGCCCCTCGTCACAGGCCATTCTTGAGATTCACCTTCGAGGGAGTGGCTTATCAATATACGGTCTTTCCCTTCGGGCTGTCCCTGGCCCCCTGCACTTTTACGAAGTGCATGGATGCGGCTCTCTCCCCTCTAAGACAGATGGGAATCCATATTTTCAATTACCTCGACGACTGGCTCGTTCTGGCCGAGTCGAAGGCAGAATTAATATCTCACAGAACCCTCCTCCTCAGCCACGAACCACGGGTTTCATCCCATGCGTGGAGTCACAGACGCCTGCATATCAGGGTGAGTCAGGCCTGTGTATCGGCCCTGACCCCCTGGAAGAACTCCCGCTGGATGGAACAGGGCGTGACCATGGGGATGGTTCACAGAAGGACAGTTGTCACGACAGACGCCTCCAACTCAGGTTGGGGGGCGCTGTGCGAGGGCATACCGACCTTCGGCCACTGGTCAAAGAAGGCTTCCACATCAACTGCTTGGAAACACTAGCAGTATGTCGAGCCTGTCAGTTCTTCCTGCCAGTCCTAGAAGGGCGCCATGTGCTAATCCGATCAGACAACATGTCTGTGGTGTCCTACATAAATCGCCAGGGAGGCCTCTCCTCGAAGCGCCTCTTCACGCTGGTAGAGCGCTTCTTAGAGTGGGCTCAACCCAACCTGCGCTCACTGAGGGCAGCGCATATACCGGGCAAATTGAACCAGAGAGCGGACATGTTATCAAGGAGCAATGTCCCCTCAGGGGAGCAGACACTCCAGCCGCAGATGGTTCAGAGGATCTGGGAGATCTTCGGCGAGGCCGAGGTGGATCTCTTTGCCTCAGAAGACAACTCTCACTGCCCAATCATCTATTTCTCAAAGACCAGGGCTCTCCTGGTGGCTCCCCTTTGGATGAACCAGCTGTGGCTATCGGAGCTAAATCAGCTACTGATAGCGGCCCCTTGGCCTGTTCCACTGAGACAGGATCTCCTCTCTCAAGCGAACAGGGCATTATGGCATCCTCGGCCCGACCTAAGGGCCCTGCACCTCTGGCCGCTCGACGGGAGCCTTCGTGCCTCCCAGAGCGAGTCTTAAACACAATTTCGGAGGCTAGAGCTCAGTCTACGAGATGCCTCTATGCCTTAAAGTGGCCTTTTTTCTCCGCTTGGTGTTTAAACTGCGGCAAAGACCCCCTCACTTCATGAGGTGTTGTCATTTCTACAAGAGCTGCTGAATAAGGGACGTTCCCCATTCACGCTCAAAGTCTATTCCTCTCATGCCCCTATTGAGGGTCAAGCTGTGGGCAGAAATAGCGCGGTCATCCGCTTCCTGAGGGGTGCTAGGAGGCTGAATCCGCCTCGTCCCACTATCGTCCCTTCATGGGACCTGCCCACTGTGCTGAGGGCCCTGAAGGGCCCCGCATTTGAGCCGCTACAGTCTGCCAACATTAGGTCGCTATCGCTGAAGACTGCTCTGCTTATAGCACTGACATCAGTAAAGCGAATAGGGGACCTGCAGGCACTCTCTATTAGTCCTGCCTGCCTGGAATTCGGGCCTAACGACAATAAGTCATCCTGAAACCAAGGCACAGTTACGTACCTAAAGTGCTCTCCACTCCATTCAGAGCAGAGGTCATTACGCTCTCCGCGCTTCCTGCAACTGAAGAGGACAGAGAGCTATCTCTGCTCTGCCCCGTCAGAGCGTTGAGAATCTATATTGAGCGTTCCGCTCCCTATAGGCGATCGGAACAACTCTGTCAGCTTCGGTAACCGCACCAAAGGGCTTCCGGTTATGAAGCAAAGACTCTCTAGATGGATAGTAGACTCCATCTCACTAGCGTACTATTCCTTGGGCCTCCAATGCCCCATTGGAGTACGGGCCCACTCGACTAGAGGCATCTCCTCGTCATGGGCATGGTCCAGTGGTGTGTCCATTGCAGATATTTGTGAAGCGGCTAGCCGGGCCTTGCGGTCCACATTCGCATTGGAACAACTCTTTGTCAGCTTCGGTAACCGCACCAAAGGGCTTCCGGTTATGAAGCAAAGACTCTCTAGATGGATAGTAGACTCCATCTCACTAGCGTACTATTCCTTGGGCCTCCAATGCCCCATTGGAGTACGGGCCCACTCGACTAGAGGCATCTCCTCGTCATGGGCATGGTCCAGTGGTGTGTCCATTGCAGATATTTGTGAAGCGGCTAGCCGGGCCTTGCGGTCCACATTCGCAAGGTTTTATAATCTGGAAGTCCCGGCCTTACAGGCCAGGGTCCTTTCCCCTTGAAGTGGCACGCGCTGCGTAAACAGATATGGCAGAGACCCCTTGGCCGTATCACGCCCAAGTTATCTGGCATTGTTTCACCTGTTAGCTCTCGACCCCTGGGTGTCGTGAAGTTACGTGAATACTCAGGAACGATTAACCAGGCCGGATGTGACCTAGAAAACTCAGCCCGTCTTAGCCTTGGGTTATTGTTGACTTCTCTATGAGCATTGGTTGCTTATGGAAGTTTATACCTTTAGTCGTTCCACTACATTAGCACGGCGTGATTGTACTATGTTCCCATATGCGTCTTAAGCAAGACGCAGTACGAGTGAAGTATCGAAAGGGAACGTACTCGGTTACTAACGTAACCTCGGTTCCCTGAGTCGTCGGTTGCAAGGTCGTCGCTTCAGTCGAAGTAAACCTGAGGATCCTGTGGCGAGCGCCCGCTTATATAACCAGATGCCCTGCCCATTCTGGCGGGCTTTGGCGCCATAGGCTTGTGCAGCTCCGCTGCCGAGCCATTGGTTCGTTTATTTAAGCCCTGCACGAATCAATGGCCATGCAGTTTCACTGCGTGAATGAAAAGGCTTCAGTTCAGGAGAAAAAAGGCTTTTTTCCCATATGCGTCTTAAGCAAGACGCAGTACTCGTTCCCGTATCTCAGGGAACTGAGTTTACGTTAGTAACAGAGTATGTTTTAGGTTTGATTATTTTTGTCAACAACTTGGGTAAAAGGTTTGAATGGTTGATATTTATGAATGTAGTCAAATGTGACCCTGGAGCACAAAACCAGTCTTAAGTAGCACGGGTATGTTTGTAGCAATAGCCAAAAATACATTGTATGGGTCAAAATTAGCGATTTTTCTTTTATGCCAAAAATCATTAGAATATTGAAGAGCGTAAATATTTTTGCACCCTCAGATTTTCCAAATAGTTTCTAATAAACCATACATCAATGGAAAGCGTATTTAATCAGCTTTCAGATGTATAAATCTCAATTTTGAAAAATTGACACTTAAGACTGGTTTTGTGGTCCAGGGTCACAAATACCAAAAGTGTCAAAAGTGAGAAAATTGACTTTTGTGTTCCTATCATGCTGTAGAAGGCATCTAAATCACACCACACTTCCATTTATTTTTTTCATAGTGTAGCAGTTATGTGGTAAAAGAATGTGACACTGCTAAATAGTTTTTGTAGATAAGCACAAAATTTGAACTTTCTGTACAATGAACCAAACTATTTCAACAAGTTGTCATGTTATGCTGTTGTGTAATTTAAGACTAGACAGGTTTCATATCACGTTTATGATAGATACACTTAATAAGGGTTCTTATTCTAAGGAACCTGGAATTTGCGCTTTTTTATTGTTTTAAAAGACACATTTGTAGCCTGTTTGCTGAAAGTGGCTGCAATGGTTGGGCATACTGCAGTCAACTCACTCGGTCGTAGCAGAGCAGGGTGCAGAAGTTGGGCGTCTTCTGCTGGTGCACCAGCTCCACGAAGCGAGCGCAGTAAATGGCATCAATGGCTGAGAAGACGCAGCGGGGGAAGATGCAGAGCTGCAGGAACTTAGTGATGGTTTCATTCTTAGTGGATTCTGCGAATAGAGGGAATACGGGGGTGAGCGAGATGCAAAGAGCCTTTGAGCAGTGCAGAGATTGTGAGAGAGTTATCTGAGGACTCACTGGCGAGTAACCAGTTGTCTTTCTCCAGTTTGAGACGGTGCAGGACTCTCTGCACATGCTCCAGCTGTTTCTTCTCCTCTTCCTGCAGCTTGTCCTGCAGCGCTGTGCAGCGTTCCTTCTCTTTCTTCTTTTTGTTCAGAGGCTGCAATAGAGAAAAGCATCTCATGAACAACATCTGACAACAGACATTGCAATGATTCCTGCACAGGTTGACTTCTCTCTAGCAACAGCCTTACGGCAAAACAACTTGAGCTTTGAGATCGAGGTCTAAGCTGAATGTGAAGGTTGATTTGTGCATCGCAAATCTTGAACGCTATTGTCAGTCACCAAAACAACATCATCCATAATCTGACAACTAAACTTGCCAAAACTGTGACTTGTGAGAGTGTCAGAAAGATCAATTATAACAGCTTAAATAATAAATTAACCACCTATTAATTCAATGCCATTATTTTATCGGTTTTTTATATCCATATATAGTTTTTTTTGGCAGGACAGGTTCAAACTAAAGTCCTCATTGTTATGAGCTGCACTCATTGCATTAACGGACTCACTGATCCAAAAGTTAATACGACTCAAAAGTACCCAAGAACTGTTACTTCCTTGTGTACGTTTGTTAAAAATGCCGATTTGTAAGGTTCGTGCCCTGCTGCTGCAACACTAAGCTGTTCTCTTTAAATCAACATTTCACAAAACCTCTGATATGTGGCTTGCAGCACTATTGATGAAGAGAGGCTTTAAAACCATTATTATGAGGCGCAACTAAATTTACTGTGATCAGATCATGGGGTCAATGTGACTGTGAATGAGGCTGTCACTAGAATCACAAAGTTTCAGTAGTTTCTAGATTCTAATATTAGTGAATTGTGCTACTTAACACAGTTTAAAAATTTAATGCAATCAGTCTTCCAAGTATTTGATGAGTAAAAACTGCTTCCACTTTTAAGTAATTATTTTAATACCGCTAATAATGCAAGCACAGTAACTGATTCTCTTACTCCAGTAAATATGGCTGCTTGATTCATTTTGAACAACAATACAGACAGCAGCAGATCTCTTGGGCTGAATTTTCACTGCAAGGTCCTTCAGTGTCTCACCATCTCCGCGTTTTCATCGATAGCCTTGATCTGCATCTTCAGCTTGTTGACCTCGCGGTCGTAGGCGTTGTGTGGTACCGCCAGGTCGTACATGGTGAGGGACCAGAAGGTGGCGTAGAACTGAGGTCGAAGGTCATCCCACACTTTGGGCAAGTGAAGAGACACGACAGCCTCGTGCACAGGAGCCATGATCTGCTCGCAGGCTGCGATGTACTTATGGACCTTCTGCTGCTGCCTGTTGCCCTTCTCTGCCTTCTTCAATTCGTCATACTTGGACTGATGGGAACACAAAGACAGCAGGCAAGCTTTATAATTCACTCAAGCACAACAAACAGGCCTGAAGATGAGCGTATGCAGAGGTTTGCACGTGGTAAATCTTGTTAGAAGTGAAGAGATAAGGGGTTAACTTTACACCGCTCTGGAGAGCTGTAAGAGGGGGTCTAGCATTGAGGGAAAACACAAAATGAGCTCTGTATGAAATATTCATTAGGCAGGCAGCATCATATAATACTGCAAAATATAACAAATAAATCCCAGTTTACTGTAATGCAAGAACCATATTAAAGCAAAAGCAAAGCATTATTGGATGCTTCGCAATTTCAACCACTATTAAAGTCTCTTCATGCTTCAACCGTTATTGTCTTACAGCATGTTTTGCACTAATCACACCCTTGATGTGAGAAACACCAAACAATGAGATCAGCTCAGTCAACTAAATCAGTACTGCATGCATCCATTTGCAAGGTCATGCATGATTTTGTTAGCGGCTGATCTTCAAGGTACTTTTGTGCTTGACTTACTAAACCATCAGCTTAGCAAACATGCTAGCATCCCAGCAAGTCTTATTTAAATTGTTGTATAAATTAGGGCTGTCAAAATGGCTGAAAAACTAAATTCGAATTTTGTGCTTAAATATGATCAATATTCGAATTATATTTGAATTTAAAAGGCATAATTTCAGTTAGGGGGGAAAAAGCTTTTGCCTTCTCTCCTGAGGCCACAAGAGGGCGCATCGAACAAAATATTATGCACGTTTCTTCAAAGCGTAATAAAATAACACGACTATCTTTGAAAAAAGTGCATTATGTTTAAAATAATGTTTATAAACCATCTATAATTAAAGTTGCTAAAACAATTAGAAACAAAACAGAATCATGCATGTATGTATAGTTTAATACAAAGGACCGAAAAACAATCACAAAGAGTACTTTCTTCATTTAAAAACTTGAGATGCAGTAGGATGGGAAAACCCGCCATAAAGTCTTGAGACATGTTTTTAAAAAGTTGAACTTACATGAAAATGTGATAAACATGCGTTCTGTGTGAACGGTTTGGTTTCGGTTTTGACGTATACAACATCATCTCCGCATTGATGTTCTTTTTTTAAGGCAATATTTTGATTGAACAACGTAGCAGAGCCGCATCTAGTGGGTTCAACTGGATAAGCTAACAAAAGTATTAAAATGCAACGACACTTACATGGTCATCGCATCTCGTGCACCACTGATAAGGCACACCTAACTTGATGCACACCTAAAATTCGAATGCAACGTTTTGGCATTCGAATGTGGATTTTTATTTTAAATTCGACGAATATCAGAAATTAAAAAAAAAAATTTGACAGCCCTATTATCAATGTAGTCTTGATTAAAATGCAAACCTTACAAAGGGCTTTCAAATATTGTTTTGGACAAAGGAGGCTTTTGAGTCAAAAAGGTTACGAACCACTGCAATAGGTTGTGAAAGAGTTTGTTTTGAACACTCACCAGAATCTGATGGGCATACATGGGCCGAGACAGGAAGAAAGCAGCATCGTGTGGCGTGTGGAACTGGTTGCAGAGGACATCGACTGACGGCACCCTTTTGATGTAGTCTTCTGTGCTGAGGTTAGACGCCAAGAAGCCACCAAACTGTACAAGAGTGTCGTGACACTTTGGGGAGGAAGCAGAAAGAGAAGCATTCATCATTAAACGCGTCTCTCCACATTTCTGTCCCAGGCAAATGCAGATGCCCTTAATAAATCCTCAGGTCGCTCATTTATTTAGGGAACTGCAGCTCGCTTTATTAAAGCCATTCATCACGGGCTCTCCATCAGAATCGATGGGATGCAGAGTAAAGCAATTTAGCGGAAGCGAGACACTGGGGAGAGATTCCAGAGGAAGCTGGTGAAGGGGAGGGAGGTACGGCCTGACTACTGGGTCAACTACCCAAATGTTCCCGGACAGCTGCTTTACTGCCAGATGAAGTTAAAGAGACCTGTAAGGATTTGTTCGAAAGAGTCGTTTGTTCACGTGCTTCAGCTGTATGTTTCTGATTCACTAAAAAGAAGCGTAAATCAGACTACACTGGTTGTGCTCTATGTTATTGCATGCAACCTGTAGATTCAGCAGCAGGATTGTGCTTACACTGAAAAGTAGTACAGGAAATAAAGTATTATCGATCTCAATATCAAGATTCATTAAGTCATTATTTACACCCAGCCCTAAACTAAGGTTCACTTCTTTTTTTACATGCCATCAGCCACTTCCTGTCGAAGTCCATTTTCAGACCTGCAGATCATTTGCTTTGTTTAGAAACAGGGGCGTAAATAGTTGCAGTTGCAATGTTGCAAAATGTATTTATGCAAGTCGCGTGCAAGTAAACGGTCCTCTCATTGATCAGAGAGCACCTGTTTATGTTTCTGGATTACGCTCATGGCGCCATCCATCAAGATGAATTAACAAGCTAGCTTTACGCACTAGCTTCCCTGCAAGGCAGGACAGCATTTCAGAGAAGATCAATGACATTTCAAGGCACTCTTTGGTTTTCAACTGTGATACTAATGGGCTCACCCACAGAATCAGACACTGCTGCTATTTACGCAACACATTTCCCATTATGAATTATGATACAGCTCGGTTAGTTGGTCCGTTGGGTCAAATTGCTTTCTAACCTCACCAAAACTGGACCGTTCCAGAGTTTGTTTTTAATCAGACCTAGAGATGATCAAACCTCATTAAGATGATCTCTGACCAATTATTTGGAATAAAATTAGCCCGGTTATCTGTGAGAACACCCTAAATGGGCGGACACAACATGCTGTAATGTGGACCAGACTTTGTCTAAAGTCCAAAATTTAGGCACGTAAGGATAACAGTGCATTCTCATAAACAGATGTAATAGACACATACAGATGCCACCTCTCTAAACCCGTGCAAAGAATACTCTCTACAGAGTGTGCTAACAACAGAACTGGATATTCAAGGGAAGATGAGATTGGTTTGGCGTGCTTTCAATGCTTGAATCAGCTCAGCCTGAGGGACTCACTGTCACGTCACACTCTGACAACTTTTCCACCTCTCATTCTCAGACAAAAAATTAAATGAAATGCATGAGTTGCTCTGAGTCGTTAGTTAGGAGAAAGAAAATGAGCTATCCCCAGCATTTCTAGAAGTTTGTTCATGGGAAGGGAAATGTAGCGATCATCTTCACTGAAATTGTATTTGCATTATCCAGCTAGAGCACATATGATTACCGCTTTTGACATGATCAACTCAAACCGAGGGAAAGCAACACACAAGTGTATACTCAGATTGTGGACAGTTCTCTACAAATACAACTGACCATAACAGTATATCGCGTAGGACACAAAATATTGCTCACTGAGAGTTAGACCCATTGTCTGAAGAATACATCAGTGGTTCCTGCCCATGTAAATCACAGCATTAGGATGTCGCTTTGTGGTCAAAACAGCTACCCATAAGACTCTGTGATATTCTGATCTCCAGAGTATGGCTAGACTGAGCCTGGTCTCTCCCAAGGTTTTTTCTCCATTCTTTCATCGATGGAGTTTTGGTTCCTTGCCTCTGTCCTCTCTGGCTTGCTTAGTTGGGGACACTTCATTTCCAGCGATATCGTTGACTTCACTGCACAGATACTATTTAAACTGACCTGAGCTGGATGACATCACTGAATTAAATGATGAACTGCCTTCAACTGAAAATTTAGTGTTTACCATTGTCATTTTGCATTATTGACACTATTTTCCTATATAAAGTGGTGGTTGACTTTTTTCTAGGCTTGATTGTGTTTATGGGGTGCAGTCTAACATGAGTTAATGCTTCGTTTTTAAAAAAAGTTTGTTTTTTTTCACATAATTTACCTTTATTCCACAATGCTCTGTCCCTTCTCTGAGAAACGGGCTGATCTTTTCCTGTTTTCAAGAAGCCCCGCCCTCAGAGAGCGAGAGAGAGAGAGAGCGCGAGAGAGAGAGAGAGAGAGAGAGAGAGAGAGAGAGAGAGAGAGGGAGAGGGAGA